ATGCTTGGTCAAGTAATGATACTTTAATGACGACGTTGACTTTAACCGCTCAGTAGTTTGAGACAGATTACCAATTGCATGCTTGGTCAAGTAATGATACTTTAATGTCGACGTTGACTTTAATTGCACTAGCTTATTTATTGTCAGAAAGTGAAAAAGAGTGCACGGGACCCCGTTTTAGTTTACTAATCTACTAAAAACTAAATCCAACATACTCGAAAATATACCAACTAAAAAAGTCAGAGTTATATACATAGATAGAGTGCGCTTTATCAGACAGAGAACAGCAGAAACACAAACTAAAATTTGATAATTGCCGTATGTATTTGAATAATTGTGAAATGTGTTTGGAATTTCAGCACTTTGTATATTTAATAGAGTAATACAAGCCACGTGAATGATGAGTCCACAGTTGAGGTCAGTAGCAGTGACATCCAACTATTCGGTTAGAAAGAAGCATTTAAGTGGAAATCTGTTTGACATCGGTGAGTCAGTGCCAGTGACATACAGTGCTGGAACCACAGGAATTAAAAAACTCCTTCATGTCTAAAGATTCATGCTGACCTGTTACCAGCATTCCACCTTTGCTTCATGTAAATTATTCTATAAATTATTCTAAATTATTCTATTATAAGACCACAAATCTCACACAGATTTTTTATTCGTAAAAAAATTATAATAACATCAATAATACCAAATGGTAGTCTAATGATCTTCTACTGTCTTTAAAGCTGGAAGTTAGCTTTTATTATCCATGAGGAAAAACCTTATGGCTCATCAGAATTAATGCAAGTCCATTTGAATGTCCTAATATCCCACAGGTGCGTTTTAAGTAAATTTCCTTTCATATAGTAAATGTTTAGTTTACTTAAAGCTTGAATGAAGCAGTTTTACCAGTTTGCAAATGAAAAAGGTTTTTTTCCCCCATTCCACTATAGAGGGTGCTGTAAACAATATGATTGCCTGTTCCATTTAATGGGTGCACCTACATATTTTTGTCTAATATTAAATGGAAACACAGAATTTCATTGAAATTTTTAGAACAGACATTCTGAAGCCATTACACACTTCTATTGGCTCACTTAAAACAAACAGCAGGGATTTATATATATATATATATATTTCTATGTATATAATATATAATCTGGCCTTAAGTTAGGTTAAAATTAAGTTTAAAAAGTTTGCACACCTTTGATTTAAAGCAAACGCAACACAGTAATGTCTAATTACATTCCACTGACCGCCATTCACTGAAGGTCTGTAACGTTGGGAAAGACGGACACTACAATCGACCTCAATTTCAAGTGACTAAAAAACGATGATCCTCAAACACGGTGCTTCTTTCAGCATCGATGAAATACCTTTTTTAAGAACTGCTGCTTTAACTGTCTTTTCTCTCTACTACAGTCCAAAGAGCTTCAGATCAAGCGCCAGTTCCAGGACACCTGTAAGATCCAAACCCGTCAATACAAAGCTCTACGCAACCACCTGCTGGAGAACACACCCAAGGCGGATCACAAAGCTGTGCTGAAGCGACTGAAGGATGAGCAGACCCGTAAGCTGGCCATCCTGGCTGAGCAGTATGACCACTCCATCAATGACATGCTGTCCACACAGGCTGTGAGTAAGGCAAGGAGATGTCGTTGACATAACACTCGCACCACACCACCAATCCTGTGCCCGGCCCCGGGGGGGGGGCCCTTCCTGCCCAACTGTTCTCCTGCCAACCAGCTTCCCTCTGGGCCCCACTGTCACAGTCTGTCTTAATCCACCTGTTAAAACAGTGTTTTAAACTGTACCTTGGCGCGTTACGGCTCGTAAGTAAATTAGAAACTCGACTTAGAAAATTGACCCCAAGTGTGAAGTGTATTTTGTCTCTCTATGTTCATCATATGTCCCTGTGTCTGTTAGGATTGGCTCCGTCTACATCTGTGATGCTCAGGGGGAAAGGTTTTAAATGAGAAATACTAAATATTTATTTATTTTAGTCCTATTTTATACATACATACATGTACAGCGTTCCATCTCTATATGACGGTTCTCCTTTCACTCCCTTGGCACATTGCAGATTTTTTGGGGATTTTTTAGCTATAAAAATGTGGATTCTCTTTTTGGAGAGATAAGCGCATTTGCAAACAATCGCTGGTAGCATTGTTTACCTAGCCAAGATCGTACACAGCATACTATTGGCTAATACAATATGAACTCAGTGTACTATTGGCTAATTGAGCATGCTCTTCTGTTCCTCACTCTGATTGGCTCATGCATCGTAGCATCTCTCAGCGTCTCCCCTTGTCTGTCGGCCACTCTCTCGTCGCCATTCTACAACTCTACTGAGGATATAATTGTGTGGGAAATTGTAATACAGTCTAGGGAGGGTTGATAACAGTGTGGGGGGGAGGTTCGTAAAGGGTTAATCTATACGTAAATAATATAATAACACTATCGCCTCTACTTCATGATTTTTCCCATTTCGCGTCTCGGAACGCAACTACCACGATAGGAGAGGGATCACTATATACACATATGTTTAATAGAACTAAAAACAAAGTATCAAAAAGCAAACGAAAAAGGCGATTTGAAAGTAAAAATGCCAACGTTATTTCTAGACCATTCCAAAAAACACAAAACCAAAAGTGCCTAAAGGTCTCGTAACATTTTTGAGATCTGGTTATTAATAACATGTCTAATTCTACCTGCCTTGATCTTCCCCAGTTGACTTTACATTATACTGTACTTACGTGCTAAAAGATCAGGCCAATCAGTAGAAGGTGTACAATCTAATGTATGTTAGCATATAAATGTAATCTGCATCTGAAAAAAGTGTACTGAGAAAATATGGATGTGTACAAGATCTGTACACCAAAACAAACACTCAATGTTGTTATAGATCTTTTATAATATGAATATTATTGTATATCAGACCCTCAGATTATTATATAATATATTGTAAAATATTCTAAATCAAATTCTACATTTATTTTAAATTACAAAAACACTCCTTATTTATGTCTAAAATACACTCTCAATTAAAAAGGAACACAGACCAGTGATGGCACAGACTGACCCAGTCCCTGACCCTCTCCTCTTGTTCACATTGCCTTCTGTCTTTCCTTCGATTCTTGACTCTCTAAGAAAAGAAATCATTCGTTGCACATGCGCTCACGTCAAGCTTCAGTCGTCAACGTGCTCTATCCTGTCCCTGATTTTCAGCTGCGTCTGGATGAGACCCAGGAAGCCGAGTACAAGGTGCTGCGGATGCAGCTGCAGCAGGAGCTGGAGCTGCTGAACGCCTACCAGAGCAAGATTAAGATCCACACGGACACCCAGCATGAGAGGGAGGTGAAAGACCTGGAGCAGCGGGTGTCCATCCGCCGGGCCCTCCTGGAGCAAAGGGTCAGAAAGAAAATAACTGTTGTTTCAATGTTGTGTGTCGAAATCTGGTGCATTTTGGAAGCAACGGGAGTGGATGGAAGATGGATAAATGAATAGACCTGGTTTATTATAGAAACTGTGGCAGTTCAAAAGAAAAAAACGAGTTATATTTTTGACAAAGTTAGGTGATGTGGTAACTTAGCAGCTGGTGGACTCAAACCTGAAGCCTTCCGGACCCAGGTCCGCTTCCTTAACCACTAAGCCACCACTGCCCCATCCTTGTAATCCGCAGTCCTTTGTTGCTCAAAGGACCCCCAAGTTCAAAACAAACCTTGTCCACGCTGACAGCCATCTACTCCACCACAGCCACTACTGGCAGTTAATTTGCCTCTAAATAGGCAGAAAAAATAATTATATTTGTTTAGTATTTTTGTGGCGCTTTGGCCCAGAGGCAATGTCTCTGTCATTGGTGTGAAACCCCAAGGTTCACCTCCTGGGCAAGTTCGAATCCCGGTTAGGGAGGTTGGTACCTTCCAGTGGACTCACCACCCACAGGAAGGTTTTGGGGGTTGGTACGGTGCAGTGTGATTTGGGTGGAGACTGCTGCCCCTGCGACCCGGTAATGGATAAGCGGATGAAAATGGATGGATGGATGTTTAGTATTTGTTAGTTTTATCTGTTAAATTTCGCTGGGATAAACACAGAACAGAAGGAATACAGCAGACTACAAAACCAAGTATGGCCTTCACATGCAACAAAAACAGTGGCCAGTATGTTATTGGTCAGAAAGGCTAAAATGCTTTTATCATTTTCTACACCATCTATTGGGAAAATGTGGGTATTGCAGGGAAAAGGCAGAAGTGTAATGATAATATACAGTAATTAAATTATATAATTTGGAAAAGTCTGTCTGCTGGTTTTGCCTACAACTGACGTAGGCCTAATAGCCATCCCTGTGGGACACCTGGTTTAATTTGGCGGTAAATATGTAAATATTCAAGGAAAGGAAAGTGACAAGTAGTTTGTCATTGTGACACAGCACACCACTGCACACAACCAAATGTGATCTCTGCTTTTAACCCATCACCAAAGTGAACAGTGTGGGAGCAGTGCTCAGAGCACCTCAGAAGTAACTTGGCAGCTGGTCTCGAACCTGAAACCTTCCGGACCCAAGTCAGCTTCCTTAACCACTGAGGCACCACTGCCCCTAAACACGCACTCATGTTAGGGTCTCATGTTAGGCCTAAAGTTAATTGTTTTATGAAAAATGAGACGACATTTGCTCTTTTGCTTCCAGATCGAGGAAGAGATGCTATCGCTGCAAAATGAGCGATCCGAGCGCATCCGCACACTACTGGAGCGGCAGGCCAGTGAGATCGAGTCCTTTGACTCAGAGAGCATGCGCTTGGGATTCAGCAACATGGCATTGACGGGCATCCCCAGTGAGGCCTACTCCAAGCAGTGCTACTCCAATAACCCGGGCCCCAGCTCTCGCTCTGGCAGCCACTGGAGCCATGGAATTCATCCACAGATCATGCCGCCGCCACAGCAGCATTCCCGCCGCAGCCACAACAGCAGCAGCGCGAGCGACCGCAGGGGCGAGTCATCCTCTTCCTCCCAGGCCTTAGGAATGGCCCTTGGTATGAGGGACGGGAGGGAAGTGCATCACTCGTCCCGATCCTCCGCCTCTTCCTCCTCGTCCTCCTCATCGTCTTCCTCCCACCACCAACGGCACCACTTGCCCCAGCACTACCACCACCAGAGCACGCCACAGCTGTACCGGGAGCGGGAGCGGGATCGGGATCGAGATAGGGAACGGGAGAAGGACAGGGAGCGGGAGTGGGCCGGGGTGCGGGGCTCGGGAGGAGATCTGGCCCACCCACATCCCCTGCCCTTCTCTCATCACCTGCCCTCGCGCTCCTCCTCGCAGTCACTGGCCATGCTACCTCCCCCACCACCTGCCCCTCCTTCAATCTCTGGCCCACCCTCCTCCTCTTCCTCCTCTCAGGGCGGAATATACGGCGGAAGCGGGCTGGCTGTGCGTGGTGCCCCGAATCTGATGGTGCTGAGAAATAGCCCCCAGCCACTGAGGAGGACGGCGTCCGGCGGGGGGCCGGGAGGTGCTGCAGGCGCCGACGGGGTTCTGAGCCGCAGCACTTCAGTTACATCACACATTTCCAATGGCTCCCACCTGTCTTACTCTTAGGCGGCAGAAGAGAGGCAATGATTTAGGACAGTAGCTATCACAACGTACAACTCATTACCCTCACTTTCTCTCAAATATTCTTCATTCAAATGTGAGGGACCCTGGGATATCAGCAGTTTCCTTTACAGTGAAATATTGAGGGAAACTGAGGCTACATCCATATCAATCCATTTTTATTTAAAAATGGTCTTTACAATTTAAAAAAAAAAGAAAATTATTAAAGGCCCCAGATGAGCATTCCGACTCAGTATCAGCAGTTATGCGATCTGTTCTATGTAAGCAGTCGGAATATGATGGAAGTACTCGGCACTTGCATACAAGTAAGTGTTTTACAATTGTTATGAAGTTGCAGAGAGAGTATGTTGGAGTTTCTTCTTTTTTTTTTTTTACACAAAACTCAATCGGTGTCTATTTTCCAGACTCCGAAAAGGTCAGAAGTAGTGTGAAATGCGACAGGATTTTGTTGTTCGTAAGAATGTTTTTAAATGAAAATGAAGTGGTGTGGATGTAATCATACGTTATTGTGCTGCAGCCTGCTTCTTTAGACTCAGGGTGGGTAAGAGAGCTAAACTCCCGTTTCTCACAGGTGTACAACAGGAAGGAAGGAGGAATGTAACCACCACATTTTATGACGTTGATGTTAGACTGAAAATACGATGTTGTGTTTAATGTTTGAGCATTTGTTGCAGCCTATATAAACGTAATATAGGAACATGTAAAACAAAGGGTTTCCACCCCAAAGCTGCAGACAGACAACAGCAGCTGTCGTCTTCTATGATGTTCTACACCGGAATGGAGAAAGATGGAGGATGGGGCGGGGGGAAGAAATGAAGAAAACGATGTTTGTTTTTGCATTGTGTATGTAATCGTATGTAGTCTGTAGTGTCCAAAAAAAAAAAAAAATGTATAGGAAGCCTTCCAAAACTTGCACCTCCAGACGGAAGAGAAAAAGGAAACTGGAATTATTTTTATTGATTTGCAAGTTGTTCTGAACATCACCATGCCTTTGAGGTGGTTCCTGAAGGGATGTCATGCGATCAAAGTTTTTATTTGACAACTCGAAAGATTATTTCTAACCGAATTGAAACTAAAGTGAATGTTTATGAAAGTGAGACTGTTGTCAAAGTGCGGCAAGGACAAGAAGAAACATTATTGTACACATACTGTAAGGAAAAAGAAAAAAAAAAAACAAAAAACGCTTTCAGGCATCATGACATATTGACTATCTAAACAGCTTAGGTGTTTTACTCCAATGCATGAAATTGATGTACAGTAGAAACATTTGTAAACATGACAGAATACATTTTGAAATGTACCCGTTACCTGTCCACTGGCATTTCAGATCACTTGTCCCAAATTTGATTTGTTTTTATCTTAACTGTACATAGTGTTGGGAATATTACAGAGAAACACAGGTCATTTGGTTTTATAGAGTTACAAAGACAATGTTAGTAATTTTGATATATTCAAACGTGTCATAAGTTCAAGATTAAGAGCCACAACTTGGCCTGCATTTCCTGTCAATATTGCCATAACTTATTCCGAGCTAACTGTTGTTGTAGTCATGTTTCACAATTTTTTCTTGACAGAAGAAAATGGCCCACTTTCGACTGTAGAAATATATACCTATACGACAAAAAAAAAAAAAAAAAAAAAGTTACGCTGTCAGGTGCGTCGTGTGCTCCAGAAAATAACGATTCTTAAGACGGAATTATAAATAACTGTCGATGTGTGTCAAACAGTAGAGTCTGGTTACACTGACACTTGTGACACCCACCGTTCGCATAAACTCCAAGACCAGTTCACCTTGAGTCACTCTTATGTGGGAAAACACGGAATAATTGGCCACTGGAATGTAAAACACTGTTTTTACGTTTTTTCTTTAACTGTTTTCAGTTCAGGACAATGACTGTAGACTGTGAGAGGATGAGCGACGACCGAGCTGCTGTAATGGTGTGACCTTTGGCCCCGGCACAGCAGCAGTGACTGCAGCAGCACATCCTCACACACACACACAAGTCAGGCTAACGGTGCACATGGTGCTGAAATGAGGCTCGTAGGTCTATCCTCGAGCCATCCGGACTGCCATGTTGTGGGTTTTTTTTTCTCTTTTTTTATTTATTAGTAATATTTGAATTGAAAATTTAAAAAAAAAAAAGTTGCTCTACTCTTTGTATGACTCAGAAACACCAGCTAAAAACAACTCCCCTGTGTAACCTACTACTTTATGCTCGGTTGGAATCTCAGTGCATGCATAAACTACTTGTATAAACTAAGTCTGGTGGGTCGAAAAATGAGCTCCATGTGGGAAAACCAGTGAACTGGTGTTCAAAGAATCAGAGGTTTTTATTGGTTGTCAGAAACTGTGAGACAGGATGGGGGGAAAGAAATCATGATGATGCAAACAAAAATGTAACGCGGGATCACGTGTCCTGCAGTTGTTTGTTTTGTTTGGATTTTTGTTTTTGTTTTTTTTTTTTTCTTGTTTTTGGATGGATGGGTGGAACTTTATTTCTCAAATCAAGTGATTGTATGCTTGACAGGGAGATGGCGAAACGGGCTTGAAACAATTATTGGAAAAAAACGTGGGTGATTTAAAAAGTATTTTAAAATGATAATAAATTGGTATTAACACAGTCACTTATCTGGTTCTGATGTATTTGCTGTAGAATTGTGTTTTTTATTTTTTCCCAGAGCATGAGAGATCGATCATTTTATTACAGGTATTTTGTCTTTGAGAAACCTGTAGAAACCATAGAAACTCCACCAACAATATTGCCATTGCTGCATATTTACAAGATTAAACAAGTAATGACACTTCAGTGAAAAAGAAATCTTCAAACCCCTTCCCTCTCTGCCACTGAGGTTCAAATTTTCAAACGTTCTTTTACCGTAACTCACTGGTTTCAAAACATTTACTGCACTGCCCCCTTTTGTAAAAAAGAGTATTGTCAAGCCCCCCACGTCGACACATTCACAGCTATTGTTTGAAAACTCCTCTGGCCTTTATTTGAAACAAGGTAACTCCCACAACACTGATATTCTTATTGAACAAAAACATTTCATAAATTAACAACGCTAATATAAATTAACGCCCTATTGGAAAGTACGTCTGATACTTTGGGAGTCTTGCCATGAAAATTGTAAAACTGTTTTGTTCATGAATTCATAACTCACAATAGCTATTTGTTAGTGTAATTAGGACAAACCCTTTTCAGATGTTTTTATTGGAAACAAACCTCAGTGTCTTTGGCTCAAAGTTAGCACTTACTATGTCTTAATACTTATACTCTCAAACAATGACCGCGTCCTTACATGCCTACTGTCTTCCTCGTCTATTGTTTGTGTACTGAATGGCTGAATGTGACATCATTATTAACGGGCTGACTTGGCGGATGTGTGCGCACTGCCCTTTAAGACGAGTCTACGATTTCTGTAATAATAGTCCTTACGGGTTATGTGTCAGTGCATGGAGATGAGCTCCATATAACTGCACAGCACACAATAACGCGCTGGACCACAGGTTAGGTGAAAAGAAAGAAAACACACGATGTTTCATTTAATGTCGGCGAAAACTGAGGAGAGGAAGAGGAGGGCAGAAGAGGACGGGTATCGACTGTGAGGCGGAAGTGAGGGGGAGCTCTGCGAGGAACAACTATCCCTTTAAGAGCAAGTGGGACATAGCGGTGCGAGGAAAGGAGAGGAGGGGGAGAAGAAAGAGGAATTAAAAAAGAAAAGGAAGAAAGAGACAGGGAGGGAGGAGGGAGAGCGGGCGATAAAAAAAGAAAGATGACATCCTCGCTGCTGAAGGGCCGAGGTGGAGCAGGAGGCTGCGGCCCGGCGAGAACGCCGCCCTCCGCGGTCACGGCTTGAATTCTACATCGAGGCTTCGACTAACACCCGAGTGGCCTAATGGAAGAAAACGGAAAAATAGATCCCTATATTAAAAACAAAGCACGAGCTGCGTGTAATATAACACATATCTGCTTTTTGGCGTAAAATAGTTTTATTTAATGTACAATGTTTAATGTTCAATGCTAGAGTTTAACACTCAACATTGCGCCGTTTTAGCTTTTCTATGCAGTTTAGCGGTTTGTGTATTTGAGTGACGTTACTGAGTAATTAAAGACAGAAAAGAAAGCAAAGGGGAAGAATCTGCTACCGGAGCTGGCCTGTGTGTGGTAGCTGCTGCGTACTTTCACGGACACAGCGTTAGGCTACCTCAATGAGAACTACAGTTCATTTTAACATACGATTTTATTCAGGCTTTAGACGACAACCAGGAAGCCCTCTTGGCCGAACGGAGACGACAACCAGGAAGCCCTCTTGGCCGTATCCGCGTATAGTATCCGCGTCTTGACCGTCGTCGTGCCCGTCAGCACGATGCAAAGGCGGCTGTCCGAGAGCTCAATTACAAACTGACTTCATTATCTCCAACGCTGTGACGCAAAATGGATGCTGCCTGGAGCAATTTCCTCTTCCAGGTAGGCTCTGCCGAGCAGGCATGTTTCTGTTTCTGCTTGTCACTGTACGGCTGTCACTGAGAACAGGCTCGCGGCCTCCACCGTAGCCCAGATCTTCCACATATAATGGAGTGTGACTTGTGTTTACTTTTGTTGTTGATGGCCTTTCTTCCTCCCTGCTTGCCTCCTTCTGCTTGCTTCTCCAGCATAATCCCACCCAAAACCAAGTGGAGGGGAGCCTCCAATCAGAACTCATGTCAGTGCATACGAGTTCTCCCCAATCCCCACCCACAGAGCACATAGTACAGCCTCCTTCCACCGTGGACACTGCGGCTCTCAATGAGGAGCCCATAACTGGTGAGTGACCCTGATCCTGAAAAGCATCAACTGAAGCGCAATTCAGGTTCAGCCCCTAAGTTGCATAGAGATGTAGACAATATGGCATTTTATCATTGTGGTTTGGTGTATTAGCAGCAGAGTTGCTGTATAAATGTATAAAATTATTATACTAAGGGAACAGATAGATGGAAATAAATATAAAATATAAATTTTGGTGGGACAGAAATTGCAATATTTTGTAAACAAATGGATAACATTTAAGCAATATTTGGAAAGCTAGTACTTAAGTTTACACCCCCCGCCCCCTCCAAAAAAAGTTGTCAATAAGGAAATATTACACTAACGCAGTACTTCTCAAATAGGGGGGGTGCGGGGGTGAGGGCCTTCCACGCTGGACAAAAGTGTACCACTTCTGTAATGCTTGAATGATAACAAGCCTCCAGTCACTAGGTGGCAGCACCTCATACAGTGGTTTGTACAGATAAAAATATACATGTTATTAGGTTCTCAATAGTATTTTAATTTGCAAGGGTGTGGGGCAGGGGAGCGTAAAAACATTTCTGTCCCCAAGGGGGGGCCATGACAGAAAATAATTGAGAACCACCGCACGGACGTAATGAGACGAAACCATTGAAATGTTCATTAATGAAGCCTTGTAACATTGAACAGCAAATGGGGCAGTAAGTCCATTATACATGAGCATCATGTATTCAATAATTATTGTTTCAGTTCCATTCTCTTTTAATGATGTGAAGGGGAAACTGCTGCACTCTTTTTTTTTTTTTAGTCAAGTTGTCAGAAAATCTTAAAATTCATCTAGGGCTTTGGGTGTCAAATATTTCCCAGATAATTCCATGACGTTGATATATATTTTTTTTTTTTTATCAACTATAGATGCAAATTAATGCCCTTTAAATTTAACAGGTTGTTTATATTAGTCTCGTGTCCCACCTTTTTTCTGTTCCAGTAAAGCAAGAGCCCCGACCAGCCCGCGTGCCCCACATCTGTGCCATCTGCAACAAGCAGTTCAAGAACAACTACAACCTACGGCGGCACCAGTCGGTCCACACTGGGGTACGCATGAAGGACAGGGCCAGAGAGCAGGCGGAAGGGGAGAAGGAGGGAGCTGCCAGCCAGGTTGTCGTGGCAGTGTCGGCCCCATCAGTAATGGCGGTGGGGGTTGAAGGGAGTGCAGAGAGGACCACCATACCCCTCTCCCTGCTACACCTCTCTGCACCTCCCACTCTCACCTCTCCCGGCATGCTGGTGGGTGCACAGCAGCCCCCCCTGGGTAGTCAGGATGGTGAAGGGGTCGCCATTGCAAATGTAATGGCTGGTGTTAACCTCCATGCTCTGCCTCCTGCTGCTGTCGTCATGGCCACAGGGGCGACAGTACAGGTGGGTGAGGTCCGTGAGGAGATGGCTGTCGACAACCCCCCCCCAACCTTCAAGCACGATGTTTCTTAAACTGTGTTAAAAATACATTTCCATGAGTGTTAAATGGGAGTCTCCACTGGACAAACAGCGATTTACAGATACCTATTCCTTTGCTTGGCACTGGTCCACAGTTTGAGAAACATGTGTGCACGAAGCTCCCCAAGCTCCCCTGCATGATCTCTGAAACACAGACAGTAACACAATAACACATCATGTCCAGCTGGTCTTAGTCTAACATGCAAATTGAGTGTCAATCATGGCTCCGGCTTTTTTTTTTTGTATTTATGAAAAAAATGTTCTTCAGTAATCTGTGTTTTATTGTTAAGGTGCAGGCTTTTTTTTTTTTTTTTTTTTTTTTAAAAAAGAAATTTATTTTTATTTTGCAGCGACCGTCAAATCCTAACCCCAACCCAGTAAAGAAAAACCATGCCTGTGAGACATGTGGGAAGGCTTTCCGGGATGTCTACCATCTAAATCGCCACCGCCTGTCACACTCGGACGAAAAGCCTTTCTCCTGTCCTATCTGCCAGCAGCGTTTTAAGAGGAAGGATCGAATGAGCCACCACGTGCGGTCACACCAGGGCGGTGTGGAAAAACCCTACGTGTGCCCTCACTGCGGCAAAGCCTTCTCCAGGTGGGCGTTGGGGATAGAAGTGATTTCAGAGTCAAAGTGCTCTGTGTGTTTTCTAATGTGTGTGTCATCCTTCTTGTTTTCTCAAGGCCGGATCATCTCAACAGTCATGTGCGACAGGTGCACTCCTCAGAGCGACCTTTCAAATGCCCGGTACGTGCTGTCTCTTCCCTGCACTGTTCTAGCTTAGCAACTGGAACTCCATCTGTTTTTTGCACATATATTCCTTTAAAATGTTAATCCTGCCCCACAATCTGTGTTTTTTTTTTGCCTGCAGTGATGCAGAAGCTGAGCTTTAATTTTCTTGTATTTTAGATTTGAGTCATTTGGGAAATCAAATAAACTCCAAATCCAATTTTACTTCTTAACACATTCAACAAACCACAGTGGTCATTTTTGCAAGAAATGAAAATGACAGATTTTCTTAAACAACCTGGGGATGAAAACGTATTTAAGTTACACGAGCTTCATTTTTTACGTCATTTATTTTCACGTTGCTACAAGCAGGGTTTTAACTATGTACCCAGTCTCGGCCGGGTTCACCGAGAGTGAATCTGTGTCCAGCTCTCAGCATTAGGGTTGCAGTCAACCTTTTGCTGTATCACATTTAACATTTAAAAGGGTGAGGAGGTGCATGTCAGGTAAGTGTATCACATTTAACATTTAAAAGGGTGGGGAGGTGCATGTCAGGTAAAAAAAAAAAAGATAAAAACTGAACAGTAACTAAATTTAACAATGAGACAGAATAAAATGAAAACTTCCAATATGACATAGATGTGAGTATTATAATGCACAAATGCAGAATACAAGTACTAAATGTGTCTGCAATTAATGCTTTAGTACAGGGGTCACCAACGATATTTGTTGGAGTACCAGGAATTTCCTGGACAGACACTAAATAAAAAAAAATTAAGTTTAGTAAATTTGAGCTGTACAGGGGTCACCAACGATATTTGTTGCAGTACCAGAAATTTCCTGCACAGACACTGAATGAATGAATTAAAAATTTTAAGTTTAGTAAATCTGAGCTTGCTAAAAAAAAAAAATTGTTTTTTTTTTACCCTCCTGCATCATTTACCTCGTCTTTCAGACCTGTGAGTCCAGCTTTGCCACCAAGGATCGTTTGCGCGCGCACATGATCCGCCATGAAGAGAAGGTTCCCTGCCACATCTGCGGAAAGCTCCTGTCCGCTGCTTACATCACAGATCACATGAGGGTGCACAACCAGTCCCAGCATCACGCCTGCCACCTCTGCAACCGAAGTAAGACACGATGCTCCCCGAAAACTGATCTACTGATACTGTACATAGACCTGATAAAATTCTTGTACCCTGGTCTGCTCATGTATAAACATTGTAGATCTAACCCAGATGGGTCCGTCCAACATTAGCACAAACCTTTTAACGGATAATGTGTTTGGGTGAGCACCAGAGTGGTCGGGTAATCCTAGTTGCGCTGCAGGAGGCATCATAATCTGATAGCTCGTCACCAAGTTCTGACCTGTGTTAATTCAGCACACACATCAATATTCATATCCATCATCTTTAAATCACCGTAATTTCCGGACTATAAGCCGCTACTTTTCTCACACGCTTTGAACCCTGCGGCAAAAAACAACAATGCGGCAAATTTATGGATTTTTACGGACTCAAGAAGTTCATACCGCTAGCGATCAATGACTTTTCTGGTAGGCTACTGTGTGTTATACTAGTAGTGTATGTCTGTGTGTGCGTATATCGGCGTGGGGTGCGTGCGAGTGAGAGAACAGTAGCAAAAGTTGAGAGCAGTTTTTAGCCCTGTCATGTTGAGTTGGTTTTAGAGGAGCTGTTAAAACTCTGTTTATGTTCCGTTGTGGTCGGAGTGTCTGATAATAAAGACCCCAACTTCCCTGTTTCTGTCTACCTCTGCTGCGGACAAGCACAAAGTAAAGGGAGTTAGCCCTTAGCTAGCTAATGTTAGCTTCACCCCCTGGAGCAGATCACTAAGTCTCCCCTGTGCATTCCAACTACGGTCGGGGCGCCGAAGCAGGGCTAACAGAGCTAACGTGTTTGCAAAAAAGCATTTATTTAATTAAAAGTTTAAAAAAAAAATCGTTCTGTAGTCACGCTCAATAGTCCGGAAATTACAGTAAGTAGATGAGATGTGTTTTCCTTGGTGATAATAACAGAGTGTCATCAGCTCCTTTATCACTTGGTCAACCCTTTTTGAATCCTTATTAAAACTTATTGCTGCTGTCTTCCTTATGTTTTTTTCTTCCTTCTTTATGGAACGAACGGAAGATTCATTAATTCCATAATGCCGACCTACAGCCGCATAGCTTTTACCTTCATTTAGCATGTCCAATAGTTTTACTTTATCACCGATAGACAGCATCTTCCGCTGCCTTTTGGTCCCTACCGCAGGTACTTTTGCCGGTCCAGAGCGTTTTGTCGACATTATGGGGTTTGATAAACTCGAAATTGCAAGAGAATTTGCACGTACGTAATGTCAATTTGGCAAGCTGTTTTACGTACGTGTACATATTAAACCGCAACGTTATTGGCGCACAGGTAGAGAAGAAGCGGAGTGACTTTTTAGCCAATCAGAATGCAGAACACAATGCACGATGCAAATCCGTGAAGTAGCGAAACCGTGAAAAGTAAACCGCGTTATAGCAAGGGATCACTGTACTTCAAACTTCGAACCAGTGTCCAAATTAAGCTGCCGTCAACACTTTACTTTTCCTTATTGTGGGACGAGTAAAGTTTTGGTTATAAACTGTGGACGGTTAAAACATCTTTCTTCTGTTGTTAGACAGACATTCAAGAAAAACAACCAAAGAATAAGTACTGTATATATGTCAAATAAGTCAACGTTTTTAAGAAGGATTCAACAAAAAATAAGTAGTTGAACCGCATATTCTGATTCCAGACCGCTGCACACAACTATTGGGAAACCTTTCTGGTAATATTTAAAATTTGCTGTAATAACATATTGGAGATAAAAAAAAAAATCTTGTTTATTTACAAGGAACTTCCTAATTTTAACATTTGCCTGAATGTACTATTTTTTTTTCCTAACTCACAACACCTGCCCGATCAGTAATCAGCCTTTTCTCTACAGTATTGTTAGACAGCAGGGACTGTTCACAGCAACACCTGTTAGTCATGAAGACTCTCTGCAGGAAACCAGTGGTTGGTTGGTTTTTTTTTGGGGGGGGGGGAGATAAGGGATTGTTTTTTTTTTTTTTTTTTTTTTTTTTTTTTCTCTCTCAATTTTCGGTTAATGAGGTACTTACACATTGTCAGGCCCTAAATGACCTATGCATGTTTCACCATAAAACCTACCCAAGACACAACTTTGGTTCTGGGTTGCCATTGGAGACAAAATTGGAGCAGAGTAATCACAGTTATTAAAAAGTACACGCTCAAGTGCGGAATATCTTAAGACTGTTTGCTGTATTTTTGTTGCTGTTCTACACAAAAATCTATAGGAAAGTGATTAGTGTTTGGCCGAGCTAGCGCTTTCATCTCGGCAGAGTATATGAAAAAAAAAATGAAAATGTTTATATTTGCTGGTGATTCAATGGATAATTGTTAGTTTCTGTGATGCAACATTAATTCTTCAATTTGGATTCCGGTACCGACAGTAGGCGGTTTAAGAAGTGACTAAAACCTTTTGGCATTAACATTTTCTTCAAGGTATTAAAGATTTTAGAGGTGTACGTTTAAAAGAGTTTTTTTTATGTTTAGGGAGTAAAATCAAATTGCATTACATCTCATTAGGAATAATGGAATACTCTTTTGGGCCTGAGGAAAAAAAAAATCATTTTAACAACAGTGAGGTGAGCAATGCACAGCTAAAATGTAAGAAAAAAAAAAAAAAACCATTCATAGTGTTACGTGATTAGAGAAGTGACGAACAAATTTGGCTGTGTCGTTAGAATAAGATCCCAACCTTATCCCCCTTTTCTTCCTCTCCCTCTCTCATGTATTTTCTTTGTCTTCTATTTATCTCTCTGTCCCTCTGAAATTGGCTGCTCTCTGCAAGTGCATCACGTACTGTATATCTTTTACACCAGCTCTAATCTTACCTCCATTTTAATGCTCACTGAGAAACCAGGAGGCATGTGTTGAAGACAAACAGCAGCACTGGAAACATTCATTCAAGAATGCATCAGTGACGGACTGGACCTGCACCTTCCGACCTAGCATGCTAGCTTGTTTGTCCAACAAACTCGTCTTTTTTTTTTTTTTTTTTTCCATTTTAATCCAAAATGCTAACTTATACAGTTTGTTAAGAGTGAATTCTAGATCCGAAAAGGTGAACATGCAAGCTGTGGTCAGCGTGGAAAGTATTTTGCTAAGTAGTTGTTCATTCGTTTCCTAAAATACGGAGATGAGAGCGACTTTGTGTTCAGGGGTGTGGAGCATTTTACACAGAGTTATTATTTGATTCAGTGGGGGGGGATCAAAATGGGTTCGCGATGTCTTGGATTTTTTTTTTGTTTTTTTTTTTCTCGCACCGAGTCTTCCTCTCCGAGTCACGCCACGATGAGACAAACTGCTAATCAACACTTCAGCCTCTGACGTGGCCACCTCTTGTACCCGGGAACTACCTTTCTGCATGAATAACAAGCTTGCTCAGTCATGCGTAGTGTTAGGGCAGTGTCATATTTCCAGAAAGCTATAGCCGTTCCCCTGATTTAGTCCGCTGTAAACGATATTTATGAAAGTGTTGAGTTTAAACATTGTCAGCCATTCATTTGATTGTAACTGTCATTGCCATAGTTTGTTTTGTTTTTTTTTTCTTCTTCTTTGTTTCCTTTATGTACACGTCCACCCATTCTGCTTAGATTTAGTCTTTTTTTTTTGTAGCACACAAGTCATAAAGGTTCCACGATAGTTGTGTGGAGAAGTGCTGAGTTCACTTGTTTAGTGGATATTTCTGTTTGTTTTTGGGTGTGTTGTCGGCCATGGGCTTCTAAAATCCCAGGTCAGGCAAGTCTAATGGGAGTCAATAACACCATGTGGTGTGCTGTAATCAAATCTCAGTTGTGTAACTGGAGTGCTTTTTCAAACTTTGTGTTCTTAATGTTACCTTTTAAATTTCTAGACTTTTCCTCTTTTTTTTTTTCTTTTTTCTTTTTTTTTTCTTAAAGAAGTGTGCTTCCTGTTGAGAAACGTAGTGACGTATTATTAAAAGTTTATTTTAGCTTTTTCCTCCATTACACTAAGAAAAATAATACCTCTACTCTAGACTTCTGTACAGCTGTTGTGATACATCTTAATGCCTTATTGTACTCAACTGCATTTTAATTCTTTTATGATAAAAAATATTTCAAATCTAGTCATGAATTCATTAATATTAATGGGATGTATTTATATTTATATTTTTATAATTCTCAACAGTATGCATGTCTAAAATGTTAGAGAGAGAGAAAAAAAAAACCCGATGCTTACAACAGTCTAAATATTTTGTTGTTTTGTTTTTTTTAGGTGCAGTAAAGATCATGTTATTATTTTGTAATTTGGACAGGTCAAATTAAAAAGGGTAAACAAATCGTCGTCATTCTGCTTTCTGTCTTTTTTCATTTTCACCATTTACAGCAGTGCTTATAACCTTCTGGCTCGGGGGACCACTTCCAGCCCGGTGATTGGTCAATCATGGACATTCAAAAAAAAAAGATTACTACTAGCTGTTAGCGCTCTGAGCCACACCCCCCCACGAATTGAAATACTATTGAGAACCTGATAACATGTATATTCTTATCTGTACAAACCACTGTATGAGGTGCTGCCACCTAGTGACTGGAGGCTTCCATTGGAAGCCCCGCTATTTGAGAAGTACTTTAAATAAAATGACCTTTTACAGTGCGGTAATTGTATTTAAACGATCCCGTTGTCTCCTCTGTTGTCTTCCCGGTCCTCTGAAAGGCAGAGTAAAGTAAAGGAGAGCAATTGGACAAAATATTTGACTAGTCATATTCAGTATTCTGTATAGTCACTTTGGCTATTTTCGGGGATTCCACTCTCGCATCCTAAAGCAATACGCTAAGAAAAGTGCCGGAGACAAGGACAAGTCAATGTAGAGATACCGTCCAGGATGAAGCAACTGGGATTCAGAAACACTTTGAGAATAATGCAAAGATAATTTGTTTCATAAATGGCTCAGATAAGAGTGACCTCAAAATCAGACATTTGAATGTTCTTCTAACCAGTTTCTGCCAGGGTTTCCATCCATCCTCTTGTCTTTCGTGCCCATGTTTTTGGGGGTTTGGGCAAAGGCTTGGCCACCAGTCACACACTGGTGGGACACAAGCCCAGGCCTGGCCCAAGGGTAAAGCACAGGTGTCCATTAGTCCACTGTTTACCAAAGACCGGGTCGCGACACTCAGGTCGGTCACAAGAGATTTTTTTTTGGGGGTGTTTACGAATAATGTCTATTGAATTGGGTCGCAAATGTTTGTGTTTGTTGTCAATTATTATAAATGGAGCATAGTACACATATTTTATGTGTACTACGTAGGGTCAGAGTAAAATAACATACACCGTATACCTGGACTATTGGACATAGTTTAACTCAGCTGGGAATTTAAAAGCAAATGGTTGTTTGTCTTCAAATATGGCCAGTAATGGACTAAAAAAAATTCTTTCTGTCTTTCTGTGATTGTAAAAAAAGTAGTAGGAAAGTTAAGAAGATATATTTGAATTTAAAGAATGTATAGGATTTTGATTTTGTGAGATTAAATGTGTGCACAAAATAATGACGTTGGTTATTACTCGTTAGTAATAACACGGTTTTTTTTTGTTTTGTTTTTTTTGTTGTTGTTTTACTAAGTTGTATACTTTCCGGATAATTAAAAAAAAAAAATCGAATTTGAGGACAAAAAACAGAACATCTGTATTCACGCCAGCATCTGCAGTCTGAACTTGTGTCGGCAGCCCGAGGCAGGTCCTTGCTGCTGCACCAGCGTCGACCTCACAGCCTCTGCTCTACTGGAGATGCACTACAGAGAGGCTGTGATGACGGAGCGGCAGAGCGGCTACGCTAACGTCGCTTGACACCCGGAACCACGCCGTTACTGCTCTGCCGCCTCTTTGCCGCGTTGAAAAGCATTTCTTTGCGTATGCTGCTTACATCCAGGGGTGGTCTCCGATGCTCCCAGTAGGCTCCTTTCGCACACATTTTGATCCAACTTGGTGCAAGCTAGCGTCGGCCCGCTGCAGCTACGCTTCAGACCTTCAAGTGTTCTCATAAACATGCGGATCATCGAGGCGGAGAGCCCGGGGACGCCTCAGACATTAAACGCTTCCTGCTGGACCAGAGTTTCGACCGGCCGCTGACCCACTCACCGCAGACTCTGTGTAAATACTGCCCTTTTCGTCTCTTGTGAACATCTGTGAACTCTGACTCTGTTAGCCTGTCAGCGTGCACCACTGACAGATACAAACAAATAAGAAGCTAGCAAACCACGGCTATCGGCATCACTCTTATGTTAGTACGGCGTGGAGATAACACGTAGAGAGTGTCACATGGACGTCTTGGGTGTCGTTCGTATTTATCAACATTGAAGTGTTAAGTATGTTTTATTCCAGTTGTTGCCAACTAAATCAGTAGCAGTGAGATAACTAGAATGCTAACGCTAGTGTCATTGTTAGCTTAGTTGAGCGGCGGATGTGCCATGCTCACTGCGGGCCAGCTAATATGTGAAATAAACCGTGAGCAGTGTTTGCTTTATTTAAAAAAACAAACACCTATCGGAAGTACCGACCGAGTGAACAATTTTTCATGAACAGTGAACACCTCCATGGTAGTTAACAGCAGTTGTAGCTATCCGTTGCTCCCGTTATCTTTGCCTGGTGAAACGTTACAAAGCTTAAAGTAAACATAGAATCGATTGTCTGAACGCTTTGAACGTGTGTATCGAATGCATGTCACATACGTAAGCCGAAGTTGCTCATGTCATCGCTGACACCGTTATTATGTTATTCAACGGCAGTAGCACAACATGTAACCATTTCGATGTCCTTCGGCCAACAATTCGTTGTCTATGTGAACAGACACTGGTCTTAATAGTCGACGACGGTTTACAGCATAAACCTCGAAAAAGTAAGCAGCCAGAGTCCGTGTCGATAACTTCGACGTTTAGGATAAAAAGCGCAATGCGCATTTTGCTAATGGACTTCAACTTTTTAATGAGTCAGCTAGTCCGGTGGCAGCTAAGTGCAAAACCACACGAACGTATCCACATGGTTTCCTATGGAGTCAGAGTGGACGAAGCCTATTGTGTCAGATGAAATGTGTAGGCCAAGGTGGCGCTAGGCTCCCTGTGTACTCAGCATGTGGGTCATTGGAATTCGGAGATGGAGAAGGTTTTTTCGCATGCAAAGATCTAGAAAATCATGTCTCACTAGTCAAGTCTAGCTATATATAAATTAAGTATAAGGTTTGCTTGATAAATAGGGCCTGTGTTGCTGTTTTAACATCTCTTTCTAATCCCTTTTTCCTATATTTTTTTAGGAAGCATACGTCAGTATTATACATACTTTGTATCTTCAACTTTTTAACATGACTGAAAATACATACTTAAAATTTGAATATTGTTGTTTCTTATTGAGTATTCAGTTAATTATACAGTAATACGAGTTGTTTTCCATAAGTGTCTTAAAGTAAATCTCTTGAGCTTCTTCAATTTTATGGTCTTCTGGCATGGACTTCAGAGGGTCCCCAACCCTTTTTTGTACCAAGGACCAATCGGCTCGTATCAGCCGTTACTGCGGACCAGTAATACTGCACCATTGTTGAAGGATCATTACATTTACAAATTAAAACGATTGTTGAAGGATCATTACATTTCCAAATTAAAACGTCTGTTAGTGTCAGAGTCTGAATCACCTATTGTTCTGAAACATTGGCAGATTGTCTTTAAATGGAAAAACCGGTACCAAATGACCTAAGGTCAGGCACCAGTTGGGGACCCCTGCCTTGGGTTGTCAGTTCAATCCTCAGATTTTTGTGTAGGACAAATTCAGGATATTTGATATAATTCTTGGTAAAACTTTATTGTTTTTTTTTTATGTTCATGTAGAACAGTCTTGCTTTCTTGGTAAAACTTTATTGTTTTTTTTATGTTGTCTTGCTGTGTAAAACAAACAAACAAACAAAATAAGAACGCTGAAAAAGTTCACTCATCTTCCTTCTTCCGAGTGGCCTTAAAATTAACGTCTGTTATTTAAATTTGCAGGGTTTTTTCCTCATTGATGGTGTTTTGAATAAAACAATTTGAAAAGTAATTTTAAATAGTAATTAACACTAAACGTCAAATAAAAAACACAACAGCTTTTCTGTGTGTATGAAAAACCTAAAGTACCTAAAATTAGTACAAAAATTGATTAAATAGAAGACGTACTGTATATTGTCAGTGCCATTTAAAATGAACAGTAAATGGCAAGATAAATGAAATCGCACCTTTTTAGGTTAACTCCTAAAGTACCTAAAATTAGTACAAAAAATTGATTAAATAGAAGATGTACTATATATTGTCAGTGCCATTTAAAATTAACAGTAAATGGCAAGAAATCGCACCTTTTTAGGTTAACCCGTGATCTCCGTTTGCCTAAAGAACGTATCGTTTTAATCTCTAAATCTCAAAGGGAAAACTGGGCTTTGCTGATATTACTGTCAAAGTGTCATCACATTTACAGTGGAAACGGAAGAGGATATTTGTGATTTAAAAAAAAAAAAAAAGCAGGATCTTGACAAACAGTGTGTCTTGACTGCTCCTCTTCCCCTCACATCGTAACCGTGCACGTGACAAGTTTCTCACAGTGAAGCGTGTATATACGTACTGTATGTTGACCTCTGATACCGTGCTTTGCGTGTTATCTAACTGAACACGGCCAAATAGGTGGCTCGACATGAGGCCGATGTTAAATCTTTCATGTTCTGTATTCCAGAGACGAGAGAGTGGCAGGACTCTGAGACTGGATTGCCTGCTGGACTTTGTACCCCTCAGACAAACCTTCAGGGACCATGTTGACCATTCTCGCTGCTGGGTCTGTGTTCTTTCCAGGCCTCTTCTTACTTTCCAAACAATGCCTCAAGTCCATCCCAGCACTGAGATGGAGCGAAGGAGATGCAGTCATTGTGTCTGCCAGGTTAGATAAAGTTCCACTTTTTGTTTTTTGTTTTTTTTTCCCCCCATCTCTTCTTTTCTCAATTTTAAAATTATAATTTATATTTTTAAAAAAAAAATACTATATACTGTCTTGTAGCTGAAATCAAGGTTTTAACTGTAGTCTTTGAACAGGAAATTAAAATGAAAAATCTCAACTGTCTGTCATTGGTCCTCAGGTTGGTGTCGTCAGTCCAGGCTGTCATGGCTTCTTCCGCTGGCTACATCATTGCTTCCTCTTGCGAGGATATCATTGAGGACCAGTAAGGAAACACATATTAATCTTCTATCAAACTTTCCTTACTTTCTTGTAACAAATAACACATTGTTTTCATAAGGACAGGAGATTTTAGAGTCTCATCCAGTAGAAATGTATACAGTGCAAATTAATTATTTTTTTCATTTTAATTTTTGGAACTACACTTTGGAAATGTTATTAAGGTTGAGAGAAGTTCATTTATCATTTAAGATGATAAGTGTGTCTTAGTCCAAATACCGTATTTTCCAGACTATATGTCGCACTTTTTTTTCATCTTTTATGACTGGGTTTGTGACTTCTACTCAGGTGGGACTTATATATATAAAAATATATATTTTCACATTTGTTATTTTCACACCGAAAGCCGCTAGAGGGCACTCTATAGCCTTGTGTACCAGTATCTGCTACTCCTGTACCACTGAAAATTTAAATGTTTGTTATTTTCACACTGACAGCCGCTAGAGGGCACTCTAGGCTTGTGCAACAGCAGCTGCTACTCCTGTAAGTTGCACTTTTAATCATTTTTTTGGCTGGTGCGATTTATACTCCGGAGCGACTTATAGTCCGGAAAATACGGTAAATGTATCCTTGTTTATAAATATGACGTCAGACAGATTGTGTGAGTCAAAAAAAAAACCCTGTATGCATATGGTAAATCAAACCATAGTAGATAACTACTATGATTTCCCTTCATAGTTCAAACCTCAGGCTTTGACCTGATTGTTATTAAAAAAAAAAAAAAAAGGCCAAAGTTATTGCACTTACGTTGCTATTGCAATATATAGCAATCACCAAATACGCAAAACACGTACACACCGTTACTCTGACAAGCTGTAGGAAATGTATCCCCCATCCATTGTAGCAGAGTAACTGATTAAAAACAAACCAGCTCCACTTAGCTGTGAATGAACACACATTTAACACAAGTTTAGTAATTGACAACCTAAGGCAGACATGGGCAAACTTTTTGGACACACAGTTGTCCTAAAATTTGACAGGTTGACCAGGTCAGGAGCAGATAGATGGAGAGTTTGTGTGAACTAATATAAATAACATGAAAAAGTCATGCATAAAGGCTAAAATGCCTAAATGTTTTTTATCATTTTCTACGCCCTCTGTTGGGGAAACGTGGGTATAGCATGAAAAAAAGTAGTAGTAGAATGACGATATAAATAAATTATATAATTTGGAAAAGTTTGGCGGGATGGATTAAAAAGCTGAACGGGCCACATCCGGCCCCCGAGCCTTAGTTTGCCCATGCCTGACCTAAGGTATTTGACCATTGATTTGTAGTACTGTTGAAATACAAAATGGTAAAGTGGTAAAGACGGATGTTTGGACAAAAAAAAAAAAAGGGTTGTTGTTGTTTTTTTTTTTTATAGACGTATTCACTGAATTCACGGTTTTAAAAATTTTGTTTAGCCTTTGATCTGTACATTTCTATTCAACTTTACGAGCTCCTCTCTCCTCTTATGCACACAGACATTGGCTGACCAGCACTTACATCATGTTCGCTGTTCCCTACTTTGTGTATGACATCTACGCCATGTTCATGTGCTACTGGTACAAGCTGAGGGTCAAAGGGCACGAAGAGGCGTCTGCAGCCCCCCAACATATGAGCTCTGCTCTGACCAGCTACTTGCGTCGCGAGTTCCTCATGGTGCTACACCATGTTGTCATGGTCACTGTCTGCTTCCCAGTCTCTGTGGTAACTGTCGCACATTCTTCTTTCTGCCCAATCAATTTCTGCAACAAAAACACAAGTACGTTTTTTTTTTTTTTTTTTTTTTTTTACATACAAAAAAAAGGCCAAAAGTACAACGGCACCAACGTATAATTCGAATTTAGCTGCGGATCTGTAACCACATGGCTATTGCGTACTATGCAAGTTTACTTTACCAAGTTCTAGCACACAATTTCCACAACTACGTAGATGTTTTATAGTCTTCCCAAATCTGGAAACGTATCTTCAAAACAAGCCCTTTTTGATTGCAAATGGTTTGTGACGTCGCAAATTATTAAAACCCCATCCTGCCTTCATGAGCAGATGATTCCTGCCAAGAGTAAAAAAAAGTGACTTGAGATGTGAGCGTCTCACTGGGAGCTGATAAAACAACGGATTGCTTTGTTCTCTCCATTAGCAAAAGCTACAAAATAATGTTTAAAGAGTATGAAATGTATGGAGTTACTCAAGTTCTACTATTTTATAATAATAATAATTATTATTATTATTATTATTTGCATTTGCAAACCATTACCCAAAAGACCAAAAGTAATGTTGAAGTAACAAACTTTTTATTTTTAGAACGTCCAGTGTTCTGGATGGTTTACCATGCTAGCATTAGAATAGCAGAGCGTGAATGTGCATTCGAAAACACTTGACTGCACGTGTCCCAGATGTACCGCTGTCTGTGTTTGACCGTTATGACGGCGATACATGAAGCAGTCAAGTCAAGTCGCCTCTCCGCATGAGAGGTTCGCCGAGCACACAGTTGCTCAATAATACCATTTAAAGCTATAGCCACAGAAAGCAGCTGTTCAGACCAGGGCTGTTTAAACAGGTGGGTGAGGAGTCCTGCTGGACTCAGGCCTTCCATTTCAGCAGAGCACGATGTTGCTGAGAAGAAGAAGCAGAAGCAGAAAATACTAATTTGCCTAAAAGTAGCATAATACTGTATGTCCTCATAATCTTTTAACAACTGAGTCAAAAACGTCTTTTTGTAAGGTCGTTTGGCTTTCGGCGCGTTCGCTTACGTTTATACTAATGTTTTGCACGAGAATGTCAAATTTGAGTCATTTAACGATTTAACAAAAATACTCTCTCTCTCTCTCATTTTTTTTTTTACCTTTTTCTAGTTTTGGCGTCAAGGAAAGGGAGATTATTTCCAGGGTATAATGTTCATGGCTGAGCTCAGCACTCCCTCTGTCTGCTTAGGAAAAATACTAATCCAGGTGAGTGTCCTTCTGTAGTCAATTGGAAGAAAAGGCTTCTCTGCATGTGCGTCTCTCGCCGCCCTGCCAATGCCTCTTGTTGATTGTTGAACAGCACCGGGTTATAAGGGAATGGCCCCTATTACGGCGGAGGGTTCACTTTATTACCAAACAATCAATAACAACAACAACAATAGTGTGGTTTTTTTTTTTTTGTTTGTTACGGTGACATGCCCTTTTTTTTTTTTTTTTTTTTTTTTGTTACGGTGACATGCCCTTTCGAGCCTATAGAACAGACCCTCTCCGGTGCGTGTTATCTCCCTGAAGCAGGTTTGCTGTTCAGATAAACGTCTCTCTCCTTCTACGGCTTCTCGCTCTTACTCTTTGTGTTACGCAAGCAGGCATGCGCCGCACAAAAAACAAACACACACCACTGTAAAAAAAAAAAAAAAAAATGTGCGCCCCGTCTACACTGACTTTGCTAACGAACTTTGTCTTTTGCCTGAGCGTTAGTAATGAAACGCTGCCTTGATGTATAATCGATTCAATAATGTTACAAAAAAAATTTTTTTTCTATATATGACATTTTTCAGATCCTGACAAGACACATTTATTTTCCAAAAATTTCCTAGGACAGTGATTTTCAAAGGGAGTGCTAGAGGGGCTTCCGAAAATTGGAGAGAATAAGAGAAAAAAAAATAGCAAAAAAAGGGATAGAATGTATTATTATTTTATTTTTTAATAACCATATTTCCTTGAACAAACGACACATAACCGATGTAAAAGTTTCCAATGGTACATGAGGTTTGTTGAAAAGCTGAAAACAAATGTAATATTGAATTATTGAACAGTGAATAGCACACTAGCGTTTGTCGATGACCAATCGAGAACAAACACTTTGCTGTTTTTTTGCACAAGAACCAGTTATTGTGCTTGTTCTATCGTTAGCAGGACCGACTGACTTCAACTTAACACTGACGACACATTGTTTTGGCCTAATTCAACTTCCCGCCAACTGTTAACTAAAGTTGCCGGAAGCAATTGAATGACGCATCATAATTGATTCCACTCAGCATTACCGTAGGTACAATCAACATACGGTACGGTAAAACACAAGGTGACACATGTTGACAAAAAAATGTCTGCGGTCTGTGTGTACCTTAATTTCGCGACTTATAAGTAGTCGCACCAGCCAACAATTGCATAATGAAGAAGGAAAAAAAAAAACATGCTAGATTTCCCTCTAGTGGCTGTCGGTGTGAAAATAACAAACGTGTAAATTTTCAGTGCTACAGGAGTAGCAGATACTGGTACGCAAGCCTAGAGTGCCCTCTAGTGGCTGTCAGTCTAAAAAATAAACATGTGAAATTATATATTTTAATATATAGGTCACACCTGAGTATTGCAAACCCGGCCAAAAAAAAAAAAAAAAAGTGTGACTTGTACTGAACGATTCAGTATGAACACACATTGCTGCTTTAATAATTTTACTATCTTCAGCTTTCACCAAACAAAACTGCCTGCCTCTCTCTCTCTCTCCTCTCTCCTCTCTCTCCCTCCTCTTCTTCACTTCCCCTCTCTCAGTACAAACAGCAACATACTCTCCTGCACAAAGTGAACGGAGCTCTAATGCTGATCACTTTTTTCATCTGTCGAGTCCTCCTCTTCCCTTACCTCTACTACGCCTATGGAAGGTATGTTTTTCTTTCTTTTCTGTCTTTGTTTTTTTTCTTGAGTCCTCCTTTTCTTACTGAGCTGGTCGTCAGTAACTTTGCACAGTGACACACACACAAAGTCACAAAGTCCCGTCTTTTGGTCATGTGCGTTGACACTCATTGTTCACCGTTCCCCTCTTTCCTCTGGTTGTGCGCAGGTACGCCTCTATCCCCTTTCACATGGTCCCGTTCTCGGTGCCGTGGCACTGTAACCTCGGCGCCGCTCTGCTCATGGCTCCCCAGCTCTACTGGTTCTCCCTGATTTGCCGGGGCGCTCTGCGACTGTTTACGGGCACCTCGCGCTCTCGGAGGCCGCGCTCTTCGACCGCCGCACCGAAGGAGAGCCAGATGGGCGGCGGTGGCGCCAACGGCTACAGCACTCGCTCAACGGAGCACGAGCTGGCCACTCACTGAGAGGAGTGGACGGGGAGGGCAGGGAGGGAACGAGGGAAGGCAAATGTACTTGTGAGTTTGTAAAAACGAAGAAAGCTGCTGGTGGGTGAAAGTCAGACCTGAAACATGTAGCAGTGTGACGAAAGCTACAGAGAATGGCCTCAGGAGGGCTGAAGACTTAGGGGGGCCAGTTGTCACATCCAAGCCTGGGCCACATTGGAGCGAGTTTAGCGTTTTCAATCCTCACCCGTGCGCGTTCTTTTGGCACTTCTTAAACAGTACGTTCTGTTTACTGCTTTACCCTTCTTCTTTTTTTTTTTTAAACTATTATTTAATTATTATATTTTTTAAACTCCTGTTCTCAAAAACAACACATCTTGTGCACTAGAAAAGAAAATGATTTTTTTTTTCTATTTTTTTTTTCCCCCACTGTGAAACAGTTGCAGGACTGGCAGTAGTAGAAAGGAGTAGTTTTGACTTTTCGATAAAAAAAAAAATTTGCCCCGGGGTTACTCGAATGTGAAACTCCAGTGGGTACATGAAATTTTAAATAAGTAATTTTAGAAAAAAAATAGCAGTTGAATAAATGTTTTAAATACCTCAAAGGAAGGTGAAAGAATATTTAAGTACATTTTAAAAGATAGATGGGCCATACAGTACATTAGTGGACACTACTGTTGCCTTACAACAAGAGACTCTATTGGCGGCGTGTTCATTCCTTGTGTGCCTGGGGGTTTTCTCCGGGTACTTTTGCTTCAGCCCACAGTCCAAAAACAGCGCAGCGTTTTTACGATGAGATATTTAACAGGAACCGCGTCGCCGAAAAAAGCCTTGAAAACCACTGTTTTTGATGAGGTTTATATTTGAGTTGGTTGTTGGTTGTCGATTTTTAAATGACGCACGGCGCACTTCTCACAACCTCCACTGTGGCCCAGACTCCACAGCTCGACGACGCGGCTACTGGCCAACGAGTACGTCGGCTTCTCGGCCGGTCGGAAACAAACGAATGGGTTTTTGCACACTCGGTAATCAAAGACATCAGCGGGCACTGTGACGGACGGGAACACGCACTGAGCTGAGAGGAACTCGCCCTGGATGTATAGAAGCATAGGTGGCTCTTTTTTTTTTTTTTTTTTTTTCGTTGACTAGATCAAACTATGTCCTCTCTGAAACTAGGAATGTATTATATTGTATGTTAGTAACTCGCTGTAGATAGAAGGCCCCTCATTATGTTGAGTAATGAAAAAGACCTTCGAGGAGAGAAAAAAAAAAACAAACCAACCAACCCCAGGCTAAGCAGTATTTTGACTTGTTAGTGTTTATGATCTGTATCCTCTATGTAGTCACTGTCACTCTTACAAAATGTAACCAACCTGCAGACTGACTCATCTTTAGAAGGGAGGTATTGACGCAAGACTGTATTTCCTGCCTTATCCATTTCCATTTGATTGTCCTTTTGCGTTTTTCATTTTGAGCGAGGTTTCCCCCTCTGGCAGAGCCGTGCGATTGGCCCCTTGTTATGACAGTATTACGTCAGTGTTCGTTTTTTTTTCTTCTGTTTGTGTTTTATTTCTGATATCTGTGAACAGTATTGTTTTAGAATTCACACAAATCAGTTTCAGTTCTCACGTAGGCAGATGACCCCTGTTTATTGATTGGTTGATTCATGAATATTTTTGTCTCGTCCTTCACTTGTTTCCCTTAGACAAAAAAATGACAAAAGACTGGCCTAAAGAAATAGCCAACATCAGTCTTTTATCTCTGAAAATATGGCATTGTTTTGGCATCGCTTCGATCAAATCGAATCACAGAGCAACACATTTGAACTTAATAGAAACGGCAGCAAAAAAAAGAAAGGGGGAAAAAAAAAAAAGCTCTGTAAAATGACAGAACCAAAGGTTCTGGTTCTAGACGGTCTATTCGTGAAATGAAGTGGGCAAAAAAAATATTCTTGAAGTTGTTCCATCTATTGTTCCCTCCAGTTGTGATTTCAGATATTATTTTGTGTTTGGCATTTGTTTATCTTTGTCAGGATTTACTTCAACGCCTCTCAAAGCAACGTGAAATGTTCCCAAGATTTCACAGAGACCACAGAGAAATTCGAAGGGTTTCTTTAGTCGATATCCGACGTGATATGCAGACAGTCACTCTGTCTTGGTCTAGTTTGTCCAGTTTGTATCGTCTCCTTGACTACTGAAAGGGAATTTTCTCGCAGTCTCTCTTTTTAACCTGTGATTGGCTTAATTATATTCACCGACGGGATTAATGATGTCAGGGCCGGCAACAATCTCGTTTTTAAGGAAAACAAACCCATTCCCTTGTGTGAAAGAAATGTGCAGCACATGCAACTGTAAATTACGTTGATGTTAATGTTATTTAATTTAACCCTATAATTTAAACCGAGTTGGCGTCCATGAACCTTGTAACTTTATGTGAATTGCTCCGATGTTTGAACATTTGCCGGTTCCATGAACCGTCACCGAACAAACTGTTTTTTATTTGTATTTTCATGAACCGTCACCGAACAAACTGTTTTTTTATTTGTATTGTATTCATTGTTTTTGTTTTTGTTTAGTTTTTGTGTTTTGGATAATTGAAGCAACTGAAACACTGTCCAGGAAGTGGGTCAAATAATAATAATAATAATAAAAAAAAAACAAGCTCAGAAACAATTGCTTTAGAGCAGCGTGTGCCAAAACATCTAGGTCAACCGTGGGCATGTCGGACAAAGAATATTCATTCCCTTGTCCCGTTAATAAATGCTTATACTGCTTCTCCACGATACTAAAACTTTGAACTGATGTACTGTATATTCCACAGAAGCTTGTTATTTATTTGTAAGTATTTATTTATTTATTTGTTTTGTGGTTTTAAAATGCATATTGATGCATACACACTATACTCTATGCTTCGAAGCCTTGTATGAAGGCTGTATTGTTAATCAAACCTAGCAAAAATATACTTATCTGTCCTGAGTCTGTCTTGAGTTTCTTTTTAAGTATGAGTGAATGAACACAAATCTTAATCTTAAAATGTACACCAGCACTTCTCAAATAGTGGGGCGGGTCCCCGTGTGGGCGCAATATGGCACGCATATGGACATAAGTGTCTACCACTGCTGTAATGCCTGAATGATAACAAGCCTCCAGCCACTAGGTGGCAGCAACTCATACAGTGGTTGTCAAGGGAGTACGGGGAAGGGCGTGAAAACATTTCTGTCCACAAGGGGGGGCATGACAGAAAATAATTGAGAACCACTGATATACAATGGTTCTATAAAGATCAGAGTGTCAACAGCTTGGGGAAAATGACCTTGAGAACCTACACAGGCATCTACACTGAATCACTTTTAGCTTAACCCTTTATCGGGGGTGCGGCACGGAGGTTGTCAGTATGTTCATTTGGCAGATTTTTCACACCATATGTATGCAGTTCCTGTTGATTTTTTTTAAAATTTGTTTTATCGAAGGGAAAAAGCACCAATTGCTTTTGGTGTCAACACACCATTTTTTTTTTTTTTCCAAAGTTTGTATGAAGTGTAAATAGTGAGCTGGCAATGCTGCAGGATAATCATTATCACTGTAAACAACAGCTGCTTTATTCGAGAGTTCAAATTCCCGTCATACAAAACACACAAAAGACATTTTAACTGTTAAAATATTTCAGTTTGTTTTTTTTCAGCACGTTGGAAAACTAACAACGTCCATCTTTGACTGTGATTAGTCTTGGTCTCTCTGAATACTTTAATACCTCCTCTGTCTCGGGGAGAAGATGGTGTTGGGGTTGCTGTCTCGCTCCCTCTCCTTCTCACGCTCCTTCTGGCTGTTGGGGGACAGATTCGCCCCGAGCTTCTTGTCGCTCTTGAACAAATCTCGGCTGGATCTCATGATCTGTTCCTCGATTTTGCGGTGGCGCTTCATGTCCGACAGCACCTTGTCTAGTCGAGCTTCTCGTTTCACAGAGGAACGGGCTGAAGATCCTGGAAAGAAGGGAAATCATTTTGTCAAAGCCTGAAATGAATTGATATAAAAAAGAAGACAGATTTATGATTTTAAGCACAACACTTTGCAATGTGTGGCTGTTTATCACACCTGGTGTTCGCCGGCGGTTCACAAAGGCATTTTTCGGAGTGGCTTGCATCTGTTCTTCATCAAAGTCAAACTCAGTCGGAGTCGGAGGTCTGCAATTGAAAAATAAACACAGTTTGCATCTGTTTTCATTACAAAAAAAAAAAAATGGACGAGATTGCCAAAAAGAGAAAAACAAAACTGACTTGCGCACTCTCTCCTCCCTCTCCCTCTCTTTAGCCATTGCTTCGTCATCATCTCTCTCAGGTGACTGTGTGAGTTCGGGTGTAGGTGGCCTTCTCGGCAGAGGCACAAAGTTCAATTCCAGCATTTCTCCTTTGGCAAGCAGCTCATAGAGTCTTTTAATTTCCGGGGGTGAAGGTATCCAGGATTTTGGGTCCTCCATTTCCTCGTCACTGTAAGGAATTTCCCATTCGTCCCCCACATCAGAAGCCTGCTTTCCCTCTTCACCAGCCTCCTCTGGCCTTGTCTGTGTGTCATCCTGGTGTGATTCACCATCCTCTGTTTCCATGTCTGCGTCTAGTTAACAGCAAACAGTCTCTGATCAATAAACACGGACAGACATGGCACCGTAACCTGTGTTTAAGAATCAATGTTACAAAATGTTGCTTTCTTTTTAGGATTTGTTCCTAAACCTTTAGCGAATGTGCAACTTGTTTAACGCGAAAGAAAACACAAATATGACTACATGAGTTCATTCTAATATGCACTACGAATTGTTTTTGGTTTTTAATTTTTTTTTTTAAATCATACTTTTGCAAAACTGTTTTCCGACAATTAAAAGGACAGTACATTTTTGGGATGGTAAATATCTCACTTTAAATCAAACTGAATATTGAATATCAATAGCAAGTTGAAAGTGCTAGGTTTGGCTTACCGTGTTCCTCCTTAATAGCAGAGCTGTCACCCTCCTTCTCTGTAGCAGCTGAGACCGTAGGATCCTGTCGTTCTTTGTCGGCCTTTTTCTCCTCCTTTTCTTCAGCTGCTGAAGGTTGGTCAGTGTCCTTCACAGCCAGTATCTCTATGCCCTGCCTCAGTGAAGAGTCTGTGGCTTCTGCCTGCATCCTGCCCACTGTTGCTGTTAAACTCCAATCTATCCAAACTGACAGAAAAAACCCCCCCAAAAATGTAAACATACAATTGTTTCTGTAACCTTAGACATGAGAAAGAGTTTGGAGAGCTTTGAGGTATGGTTTTAAGGAGAATTATGAGGATTTACTGGATAGACAATGAAGAAAAACGAAGTATTTTACTGTGCATGTGGCAATTAATAATGCATTTCATTCAAATTCCATTTCCATATTGCAAATGTTCTAATGGGCACTGGTATGGTTTACCCTCTATAAAGACATCACACTCATTCTGTTATTTGAAAAAGGTCTAGTGTGGAACTAATTGTTTTCCGGCGTAGTCACAACTAATTATAACCATAGAATGTAGATAGAACGTGAAATAAAATGTTCACAGCGAACCTACAATACAATATTTACACACACGTTAAGGAAAGGGGGTCACTCGTCCTAGGAGAACCATCATCAATGTAACCCTGAATTGCTAATTTTTACGAGGAAAAGTAAAACACCAACACATGTACTGCATATAACCCGACCGGTTGGTTATATGCTACGTTCAAAAAGTACATGACCTTGAGTAAAACTAGGTGCGTCACGTTTATTAGTTAAAAAACCTGTCACTAGGCATGCTATTTCAAGAACCAAATTACAATAAGGCACAAAAAAGTGACATTACCGAGCCTCCGTGTATTGAAGGTCAGACTCCTTGTGTTGGACGTTGAATCTAATTACTTTATTCGTGCCCGTAAGATACCAAAATTCTCCATTGAGCTTGCTAAAGATGGAAATTACTTAAAAGTGGAAGTAAACAAAGCGCCATTTTGGACTCCATGAAGTAAAAGACGGCTTTCTGCCGCGCCGTGCTGTGCTGTAATGCTGCCCAATCCAAAAAGCATGTGGATGGTCCACGGAAACACTGAACAAATGACGTATGAACGACGTTTACTTTGTAGAGATCTGCAGTGACGTAACTTCCAGCTCAGTATATGAACTGAAATATTTTTCACCGTATCATTTAACAAGAAAAGTTAATATATCTCATGGGCCTATCATGTATTAATATATGCTATACATCTAATATAAATTGAGATAGGGGAATTTTTGTCTCTAAATGAGACGTGGCGCCGACAGTCTGTGCGAGTTCCTATTGGCCATTGGCCGTTTCCGGGGGCAGTCTTGTTATTTGAAAAGCGTTCGGTTGGTTGCTGGCGTTCGCCGCCATTGTTTAAGCAAAACGTCCACAATGTCTCTCAAAAGCAAAGTTGGAGAATAAATAAGTTTTCGCCTGTACGTATTTACCGTAAGTATTTATGCGTTATCCATTATAGTTTAAGTTAAATTTTAAAGGCGAGAGGGAGAGAGAGAACGTAGTATGTGCACAGGAGTATCGAGTAAATAAAAGAGCGAGTGACTGGCAAAGTTAGCTAGTTGTCCCCTCGATTTCAAATATTTAACTCCTAACTGCTCATTTAAAAAATTGAAGAATTGTTGGTGGCTGACTTAAGTATTCTTAATTAGGTTTTGCCTTTTGAGCTCAAACATGGCTCAGCGCGTAGCCGTAGCAGACGGTGGAAACAAGAAAACGACCAGAGTCCGCGTTGCTGTTCGTCTACGTCCTTATATGAGTAAACATGACGAGAAAAGCGAAGGACCGTGCGTGAGAGGCCTAGATTCCCAAAGTCTCGAGATAATAAACTGGAGGAATGCTACAGAATCAGTCAAATATCAGTAAGTATTTTAAAAAAAGCAAATCCGCTTGTTAATTTTCCAGTTTGGTGTTTAATTAAAAACATGTTTTTCAGGTTTGATTCTTTTCATGGAGAGGAAACGACACAACAAGAGGTGTTCCTCACCTCGGTGAAGCCAATTCTGTCACATGTATTGAATGGTCAAAATGCCAGTGTTTTTGCGTATGGACCGACAGGAGCAGGTATGTTGTTACTACAAGACTGCACATCAACCTTTCCCCATTTTCTTAGCACACACTCCTCACTAAATTGAACGTTTCCCTTCAATTCACGACCAAGTTGTCCTGTTGGACACACTTTCTAGCTCTAGCTCTGCGTTTAGCTAACCAGCACAAACCGACATTATATATAATATATATATTTTCTTATAAATATATATATATATATATTTATATTTTAATGTTATTTCTGCCTGTATATATATATTTTTTTTCTTATAAATATATATTTATATTTAAATGTTATTTCTGTCTGTCGTCACCAGTCAGTCGGGAGACTGGTTTGTGCTGGTTAGCTAAACGCAGAGCTAGAGCTAGAAAGTGTGTCCAACAGGACAACTTGGTCGTGAATTGAAGGGAAACGTTCAATTTAGTGAGGAGTGTGTGCTAAGAAAATGGGGAAAGGTTGATGTGCAGTCTTGTAGTAACCACAGAAGAATGTTGATCAGCCATACAGGAGTTACACTGTCTCTTTATAGAACTAAAGAAAGCGTATGATAGTAAACTTACGGATGAACTGTTTTTAAAAAGCCATTGGTAGAGAAGTATGTGAGGGTAGACAAGGATATGTATAAGACTGGTCAAGATAAGGTTGGGTGTGCTGTTGGACTGACTGATTAGGTAGGGTGTGGTTACATCAGGAAACTGGGGAGGTTAATGGATGTGGTCGGGCAGGAAACTCCGCGGACCATGACGTTTGTAGGTCGGACATTGCAATCGGTGGTGAGAGTAGGGAGCAGGTATAATATTTAAACACGAAATGATAGAGGTTAGCTTTGGAGCGACGAGGATAAAGAAGAATGATGAAGCTGCAAGGAGTAGATGTAATAAAAGTGGGTGAGGGAGTCAACCATCCAGAGACATAGACAGTGAACAGAAGGGGTGGATAAAAGGGTGCTGGCAAGATGGAAGGGCACTAGTGAGATCTGCTATGATGTACGAGTTAAAGACAGTGGCTCTGTCTAATAGACGTATGACTGTGGTAGAGGAGGCACAGATGAATATGCTGGGATTCTCACCAGGAGTGACCAGGATGGACAGGATTAGAAATGAACAGATCACAGGTACATTTAAGGTGGAGCAGTTTGGAGCTGGAGTTAGAGATGGTTTGAACATGTGCTGAGGAGACACAGTGAATGTATTAATGGATGTTATATAAGGAGGACATGGAGATCGTGGTCTAGAAACAGCAGGAGATGGGGGTGAGATGGAGGCGGATGAAGAGAGCCACCGATGGTAGAACCACTAACTCTTGAAACACGTCACATTTATTGCACGTCGTGATCAGCAGACCTGCTATTTTTCTTATAATTTACTTCCCTTTATTTAGTGATGTTGTTATCAATGGTTTTTCAGTGTTCTTGAACAGCACTTCTCAAAATCCTTGTTTTTTTTTTTTTTTTTTTTTTTCCTTGTCATTTTATGGTATTTAAACCTTGACATCACGGTCTTCTGTCCTCACTCTTAGGTAAGACGCACACCATGTTGGGGAGTCCAGAGCAGCCAGGCGTGATCCCTCAAGCTGTCCGTGAAGTCTTCCATCTAGTGAAGGGCAAGAAGGAGGATGAAGGATGGGACTATAGCATCGGCATGTCTTACTTGGAAATTTATAATGAGAAGGTGTCAATGTCTGTTTTTCTCTTATTGCTCTGGAAACATTAACAAAAAAAAAAGCAGATTTTGTTACTGACTGACCCTTGTTCTTCTTGTATGCCCCAAGGTGCTTGATCTTCTGTCACCGGGCTCCCAAGACCTGCCAATCAGAGAGGACAAGGACAAGAACATTCTCATCCCTGGCCTGACTCACACAACAATCTCGTCTTTCTCCGATTTTGACAAGCATTTCATCCCTGCCAGCCTCAATCGCACCACAGCCTCCACCAAACTTAACCAGCGTTCCAGCCGCAGTCACGCTATTCTCCTTATTAAGGTTTTTAATTTTTCCTTTCTCTTCTTTTTTTTTTTTTTTAATTTATTTTTAATCCAGACAACCATAAGTAATGCAGTTAAGCTAATGCAGCTAGTTTGAGCTTGGGTTCCCCGTTGACGTTGGAGAGCATCTTAAACAGGTCGTGGCCTCTGTGCAGTAGGCCAGGATTTGGTAGCTGGTGCTTAAAACAATTCTCTCTTGCAACACTCCCACAAACAAACTCTTGGGTTTTCTGGGGCTTTAATGAGAGCGATACAAGCGTTTTGATTGAACGCGACTAATGTAAATGTCCTGCCTTTCATTGCTCCTGTATTACTTTTTTCCTAATAATTCCTGTCAATGTCTAGGTTGTGCGGACGCGGCGCACGTTTCCCCACAGACAACAGACCGGGAAGCTGTACTTGGTAGATCTGGCTGGGTCCGAGGACAACCGTCGCACAGGCAACCAGGGCATCCGTCTGAAGGAGAGCGGCGCCATCAACCTGTCTTTGTTCACTCTCAGCAAAGTGGTGGACTCCCTCAACTCTGGCACGGCTATCCGAGTGCCATACAGAGACAGCAAACTGACGCGGCTGCTGCAGGACTCGCTGGGCGGCTCGGCGCATTCGGTCATGATCACCAACATTGCACCGGAGTACAAATATTACTTTGACACTTTCACTGCTCTCAACTTCGCCGCCAAGTCCAAGCTTATTGTGAACAAGCCCTTCACACGAGAGACCGTTGCCGTGCCCATGCTGCCGGGTGAGTGAAATGAAGGAGCGTTCCAAGCTCCAAGGGGGGGTTGGGTTTAGAAAAATTGTATGTTTGTTGTTTAAATATCTATTTATTCGCACTAACATATCAATAACGTACCGCAAGGTGAAATATCGCAATATACATTGCAATAATGATATTCCGGCACACCCATACAGTGCAGGGTCGTTACGTGACCGCGGGTTTACGCTTTGATGAACGTCGCATGCACTTTTGGATCGTGTTGAATTCTAATCCTTGTCTGCCTGCGTCTCAAGTCAAACGCGCCAGAGACGAACTCGAGGGCCGAGGTCCTGATGCCGACCCACAGAGGAAAAGGCCGAAGGAGGAGAAGAGAAGTGGACAGGAGGACGCCTCCTCTGCAAATTGTAACAGGTTAGAGATCTCCGACAATGACGAATCGATCCGTTGTGTCGACTTGGCTACTGTACGCTAATCTTAGTAAAGTCTGTTATTTGGAATTTACCCCAAGATGGGGTTCTAATTTACAATGTGGTTTAGATGGAATCCTGTCACTGAGACTACAGATAAACTACGATGAAGACAATAATCGCTGACGGAATTACTCTTTTTATAATTATATTAAATAGAACTAACATGATTATTGACACTGCTTCAATGACCTACTCTTCTCCTCTGGTCCTCTCCTTCAGTTTAGCGGCACCGTCAGTGATGGACAGACTAATCGCTCTAGAAAAGCTAATGATGAGCTGTCAGGGGAAAGACAGATCGAGCGTGCTGAACGATGTGGCCCAGTCTCGGAAGGAGATTCAGGTGAATATGCTCAATGTGACTCTTAACTCTAGCTGAAACATCGGTCTCCTGTCAAATGATGGCGGTGTTCTCAAAATGATTTGTGTCACTGCTTTGATAGTCACCTGCAGGGGGCAGAGCATTATTTATACATTATGTTTTGTAGTTTATTACCCGTAGCTTAAAGACTTTTTGAATATGACTGCCAAATATTATTCTCAATCGTACAATTTTATTAGTAATATTTATCGTCTAAACATTTTAAGCAACTCCATTTGCATTCCAGACGTCCCTACATGGAGTCACGACCCTAAGGTTGAAAATGCATACGCACTCTACGCAACGAGACAGCTTTGTTGCTTACCTCAAACTGTTTTTTTTTTTTTTAGCAGTTCTCACTGCTTTTCCAGAATATGACGTGGTTGTTAGTTGTGTCGGTCATCGTCTTTTCCGCCGTCTTTAGGAGTTAAAGGAGAAGCAGCGGGAGTTCGAGAGCAAAGCCCTCCTGCTAAGCCGCCTGGCTGGAGAAGGTTCAAGCGGTAAACACGAGTCGGATTTCAAAAACAGCACAGCTCCTCTGCAGAAAAAACAGTCCAACACATTGCGATCCATCAGACAGCAGGCTGTGGTTCAACCGCTGCAAGGTGAGTGAGACAATAGAGTTGATCTACATCAGTTTTTTCGCACAGACGTTTACATGCTTTACGTGCAAGTACTACTGCGTAATGTGTCAGGTGACCTTGCAAATACTGTGTCTGGTGTACTTCAGTTCGCTTGATGACATTGTCCGTAACATCCGATCACCGGCGATTCTAAGTATGATACCAGAGCCCATTCTACGGTGTTACAGCCAGAATATATCAAATTTCGTTGAGTGTGGATTTTTATTTTGCTCATCCTGAACAGGATGACGTTCCTTTGTACGTGATGTACGTTGCCAAAAATAACTAGAAATGATAACATTTTCGTGCCCTCATCCTTGTTAATTTGTCACCTTTCGGGAAAAATGTCCTATTTTGATTCCAAATGACTTCATCCTTCCACTTTGGGTCTGCTTTCCCGTCAGTTTCCCAGCTTCAGCCTCAGCAGCAACTCATCACTGTCAAGAAACAGTCGGTCTGCGTCAAGAAAAAGCCTTCCAACCAGTTTGAGGTCAGCTGCAAGATAAACAAGTCGCCACTTACAAAGATCACTGCTTTTGTTCTTGACATGCTCATACAGCGACAGATTTCTCTGAATTATATTAGAACTTCTTTTTGTTTTTTTTGGTCCAACTCCAGCCTCCAGATGGTAAGGAGAACATGAGTGAGAGCAGCTGGGAGTCTAAGCTGGACAACTCTGTCTTAGAGCAGTCCAGGAAGAAGATCCTTCACATTCTCAACAGCGGCTCCATCAAAGAGTTGAAAGGTCTGCAGCAGATAGGAGACAAGAAGGCCAAGCTCATCTTGGGCTGGAGAGAGCTCCATGGTAACTTCACAGAGGTGAGAATGGCAGACTCCACTGTTTGGATCACTTTGTCGGCATGCATATGAAGCGTCTCCGAGATATTCCTGATTTCTTGTATATTGTTTTGCAGTTGGAGGATCTTGTAAGAGTTGAGGGAATGACTGAAAAAAGATTTTCCTCCTTTATGAAGGTAAGCACTGTCTCAAACAGGGTAGCCAAACTAGCGTTAGCCCAGTTCTCCTTTACATCTGCAGTGGTCTCTTCAATAGTGTCGTTCGCAGAATTCACATCATCATTAAAAGAAATACTCTTATTGAAATTATTTAAATGATAAATCTGGCTAGATGCAGCCCACAAAACCTTTAAAAAATTATATTATAAATGTATTGTAATGTAATATTATCATTATACTTCTGCCTTTTCCCTGCAATAGCCACATTTCCTCAATAGATGGCGTAGAAAATGATAAAAGCATTTACCCGTAATGCATGGCTGTTACATGTCATTTACCCTTGTTCACACTAACGCTCCTCCATTTATCTGCTCCTGACCCGACCTCCCTGTTCCATGTGTTGGTTGGTTCAATTGTGGTCTGCGGGTCAAAAAGTTTGCCCACACCTGATTAAGTTTTTTAAAAATACATATAGGAAAAAGAGATGTTACCTGTTGTTCTCTGGAGCAAAGGTAGCCAGGAGAGCAACAGCAGCAACAACAACTCTAGGCTATTGGTTTTCCAGAATAATGTCATTTACTGTCTGCACCTACAGCCACACTTTTTGTTTGACACTGTTTTGCGCCTAAAATTGGTTTCTCTGTCTTTTTAGGCAAATATCCTGAGTGCCCTGGGAAAATGATTTTTTTTTTTTTTTGTACATGTATTGCTTTTATATTTTTACCTTGTCATTGTGGTCCAGCCAATGGCTAGCCTGCTTTTAATAAAGTTTTTAACTAATTTGATTATTTTTTTTAATTTATGTTTTAACTTATAGCACTATCATCAGGAGGGAAATTATTTGGTGATTTGGAAACATTGACAAAGAATGCATAATAATTGATATTTTTTTAATACAGTGGATCAGATTGACTTAAAAATCATATATACATGTGTATAGAATGCTCAGAGCACCTCAGTGGTAACTTGGCAGCTGGTGGACTCGAACCTGAAGCTTTCTGAACCCAAGTCTGCTTCCTAAGCCACCACTGCCCCCGATATTTGTATATACAGACCCTTTCCAAAAATACAGAATATCATGGAAAAGTTTTCCAGCATTTCCATAATTCCATTCAAATAGATTAGATTATAGATTCAGGGCCCACAATTTAAATGATTTCAAGTATTTATTTTTACATGTGTGT